GACTCTGGAAAACAACGTGAAGTAAAACCCTTCTAAACATAGAAACGAAGCTGTCCTTTCCACTTCTCCAGGTGAAATCCAAAGGAGAGGAGGTGACAAGATCTCGCCTTTGGGGAATGTAAACACCTATCTGTGGCAGTAAGTTCAAGAACTGAGGGTTATGAAAGGTAGGTTTTTCTAGGGGTGTTCAAATCTGGTTTCGCCCGGCGGTGCTGACATTTTTAGGGGAGTTAGAGACAATAGGGAAGGCTTGGGGAACCAGCTGATAGGTCGGCGCGCAAAGGGGCGCCTTCGGCAGAGGCTAGTTCGGAGCCACTTTTTTTTAACCCTTCGTGCACCAGTTCGGCGGGTTCCACGCCAATCGGAGCAAAGAAAACAAACCTACCAAGATTTCCAGTTCATTTCTGCGCCAGGGAGCACCTCTAGCTTGACAGAGGAGGGCTGACTCCTTAGCTGGTGGCCCAGCAAAGAATTTCAAGGAAGAGAAACTGAGAATAACACCTTATAAAGGACTGAGGCGTTGGAGGAAGGGAGAAATAGAGAAAACAACGTAGAAAGTGAACGTTGTAGAGCCTACGATTCTCAAGCACACAACTGGAAGGGGGAGGTGGGTGGGACGAAGGGCAGACGAAGTGAACGGGAAAAAATGGGGACCCGGAGAGGGAAGGGTGATCCCTGCAGCTGTTGCGCTTTTGAGACCCTCGCACAGCGCTCTGCCTCGGGGAATGTAAGCAAAAAGCACTACTTACTTTCCGAGGGGAAGAAGGGCGGCATGTCAATCTTGTAAACCTCCTTGGCGTAGTACTCCTCGTCGCTCCTCTCGCGCTCGCAGGCGGCCGCCCTCCGGCTCGCCTTCTCCTGGAGCAAGTCCCTGGTGCTGTTGTAGATGGAAATCACCTCCGGGGGGACTTCTTCGGGCTCAGGATAGTCTTCTGGGGGGCTGGTGAGCTTCAGCTTGCTCAGGATCTGCCCGCGGATTGCCTCGATCCTCTTGCGCATGAACTGGTCCATATCGAGCGTGCTGCAGGTAGACAGGCTAAGCGCGACCGTGACCAGATGCAGGATCAGAAAAGCGCTCAGCACACAGTAGTGCATTTTTTTAAGGTGGAAAAAGTTTAAAAAACAAAAAAAGAAGTAAAAATTTTAAGAAAAAAAAAATGAACCAACAACTCTCAAAGTACTGACCAGGTAATTTTTTTTTTTAATGCGAAACTTTTGCAAACAAACGAAAGTCAATGTCCAAAGAAAAAGGTATCTTGCTTGAATTCCCTTAAAAAGAAAATGCAAGTAGTTCCCAAAGTGGAAATATTAATACACGATGCGCAGGGGGAAACCTAACTGTGGGGAGTAAGAAAAAGTTTTCTTGGAGTGACGAGGTGGGGAGAAAAAAAAGAGGCGAGCGGCTATTAGGCAGAAATAAATGTAAGATGAGGGAACGGAGTTCAGTGTGTCAATTTCGGGTGCGGAGTGTCGGATCTGAACTCGGCTCCTCCGCCCAAAAGGGAAGAGAAGAAAAGGTCTCGGGGCTGGCAGCCGGCGGCCCGGCGGGAGGGGCGCCCGGAGCGCTCTAACGGGGGCCGCCGAGGCTGGCCCGGGCTGTAATTTATATATTTAAAGAAGGAGCGGTTCGGCCCTGCCTTCCACTGCGGCGCTGAGAGCAGGAGCTGCAGCGGCCGCGGAGCGGGGGAGCGCACACGTGTGTGAGCGTGTGTCGGTGAGTGTGCGTGTGCGCGGGCGCGTGTGCGCGCGCTGGGGGCGAGCCCTGCGCGCCGCGGGGAGGCGGGTGCGCTCCGCACGGCGCTCGGGCCTCGCTTGGGTCCGGCCGCGGCCGCGCAGGCTGCAGAGGCGGCGAGGATCCGCTCCCGGAGCTGCGCTGTGGCCTCCGCCGGCCGGCGCGCGCCGCCCCTCGGCTCACTCCACGCCGCCGCCGCTCGCGAGCGCGTCCGGCCTCCAGCGCCCTCCTCCTGCTCCTCGCGCTCCGGACGCCACCCCGGCCCCAGCCGCCCAGCTGCCGCCGCCGTTGCTATCAGCCCCCGGGGCGCGCTCACCAGGGGGGTTTATTCCGAAGGGGGCTCCGCAGGGTTTCCCTTGGACTCCCCCCCTTTCCCCCTTCTCCTGACTTCTCTCCCTCCCGGACTTGCTCGCTGAGGGTAGAAGACACCTGGCAGCCTGCAATAGACCCTCTCCTTTCTCCTTCCTGCGGCCAGACAGCCCCTCGGTTTGTCCCGAAAGGCTCCCCGGACCGTTACGCTACGGTCTCCAGTCCTTTCCCCCGCCGCCTTCACCTGCGCTCTCGCCCCTTCCTGCCTCGGTCTCTCGGTCTCTCTGTCTCTTCCTCCCTCTCTCTGTCTCTCTGTCTCTGTCTCTGTGTCTGTCTCTGTCGTCTCTCTCTCTCTCTCTCTCTCTCTCTCTCCTCGGGAGCTTCTGGAGCTCCTCTTGGAGCGAACCTTCTGCTGCCAGCAGATAACATCACGATCTTGCCTGGGAGGAGAGATTTATAAGTTCTCTCTGAACCACGTGTTTGCCTTCAACAAAGTGACGTGCTAGGATTACAGTCAGAAGTCCTCTCGTTTACTTAGACCACGAGCTCTCCCTGAACCGTTGAGGGGGTGTGGAAATGAAGGCGGCGGTGGGGCAGGGAGGGAGGAGGTGGAGTGTGCGCCGTGACAACAGTGATTTATGGTATTTACTTTATATAGTCATTGTGGATCCGTCTGTTGAAGGACAAGCTATCAAGCCTCCCGTTTTTAACTTGGTGTGGCTCACCCGCAGCCTCCCAAACTGAATCACTTGCTCTAGAATGAAGTCTTCCGTCTTGTGTTGCACGCGCGCGCGCACACACACACACACACACACACACACACACACACACACACATTCTGTGAATGAGCATCAGTTTGGCCGGAGCCAGACCAGCCCTGAGACATGCCTTCCAATCTAAGATTCACCTCTTCTTAGTGGAATCATTTTCTGAGATTCCATAACACCATGTTATAGTACCTCTGTTCTAAATGTTATTTTATGAGGGATTGTGTTCACAGTCTAATCTTCCATTGACTGTTCTTCCATTTGACAGTCTAATCTTCCATTTGACTGTGAATGCTGAAAACAGAGCTCCATCTTTTCTTTTTTACATAGAGAATGAAGAACATTTATTTGTCTTACTGTCTGAATGAATGAAGGGGCATCTTAACTGCTGCTTAAGCCACTTTTTGATAGGGCTTTCTCTTCACCTTCTTCCCCAGCTAGACATTAGTAACCAATTCATTCTTTCCATAGCATACATCCAGGAAGCTGGAATTTTAAGTGTTTGATGTCTAAGTTATTATACATTACACATAAATTGACATTTTCTATTTCACCCTAGTCCAGATTAGATAAGTACAAGAATAATTCTTGCCACCGTTCCCTTTTCCCTTTTTCTTTTAGTTACTTTTTATTAACCAGTCATCCCATTTTCATTTCAACCCGACTCTGGCCATACTGACCAAGACAGATGATTTAAACTGAAAACTGTTTTTCCCCAAACTCAAAGCCTCTCTGTCATTCCCTAGTTCAGATGTTCCTTTTATTATAAATAGGTCAAGGAGTCTTCTTCAGCATTTATACTTCACATGTGTATGGGGCTTATATCATTAGTAAACAGAGGGCTGAATAAAGTTTCAATAACAATAGCTAATGCATATTAGTAATGTGGGATAGATAGAGTATATATGGTCATTTAATCTCACAACAACCCTATTCATCTCTACTGTGCTGATGAGGAGACTGAGGTACAGAGAGGTCAGGGCTTCGCTCAAGGCCATAGTGGTAGTGAGGATTTCGCCGTCAGGATCTGTCATGTATGTTCTTATCAACTGTGTACTTCTAAGAAACACCGGTACCAGAATATGTCCGGCAAACAAGGATGCTGTGATGAAGTCAGTTTAGGAGATGCTTGGTACTTACTCTATTGTTCTCTTACAGATTCACATTTACCATTGTCATGTCAAAGCCTCTGGGAATCTTGCACAAAATAAAACTGTTCAACACTTCTAACCCCAGCATATTCTGATCTCCCTTAAACGTGTGCCCCCCCCCATGAATATACATCAGGAAACTCTGGAATAAAGGGATTGTTCTAAACCACTTCTGAATAATTCTGAAAATTATGTGGAAATTATGTATAAATCAGCATTAGCAGGTTCCTTTCTATGACGAGGTCAGTTTCAAATTGAAGCAACTTGAAAGGTGTTAGACAACCAGCCACCATTCGGAGACAGAGGAAAATAGAGTGAAGAGGAGCTACTGCGGGGCTAGTCATTCCACCAAATTGGCATCCCTCTGAGTTCAGTTGGAGAACTGGCAATAATCTAGCTATACACAGAGGGAGGAAAAGTGAATATTCTTACACCTGGGGCAATTATAGAACAGAGCAGGAGGTGCACACGTGAACTACTGAGTGACAATGCTGCTTTGGAACATGGCCAATTACCTCAATCACCACGCTCCGCTGAGGATGCAGCTTCAGCCTTCCCTTAAGTTAAATGGATTCAGATAGAGCAGCAAAAGTCTATACCACTTCTAGGAAAACAACTAAAGCCATAAATTATAACTCTTCCCAAAATAAACATATGCACTTTTGTCCATAATACTTAGTCTGTTGAACTGCTATTGCTTAGTTAATCCCTTCGGCTCCTTGTCTATTTGTAAGGGGCTACTTTTAATTCCCCCAAAGCCCAGGAAGGTAGGAAGGGAGGGGTTGGTGAGATCGGGTAGGGGTCAGCATAGTAACTTGAGTATAGTAGGAGGGAAGGAGTCCCTTTCTACGCTCAGATGAGCAGCCTTTTGAAGATACAACAGCTAAGACTAAGCATTGTCTCCCTTGTAACCATAAATGGATACTTTCTCCTATCAAATAACTCTTGTGGAGTCTTTTCATCTCTACAGGCAAGAAGTAAATATTCACTAAGTTTATTGAGATCTTACTATGTACTAGGGACTTTAGACAGTCTTCTTGGTAAAAGGGTATCACCTTGAATGCCTCAAGGAGGCAGGAGAGCACAGTGGTTAAAAGGCCAGGTTCCAGAGTCAAGTTTTCTTGGGTTCAAATTTCTGTCACTTTCTGGCTTTGTGATTCTGGCCAAGTTACTCGGACCCTCTGTGTTAGTGATGAGCATAATACATAATTCCGTAACACCATAAGATTACTGGGAGGATTAAATTGCACAAAGCGCTTCTAACACAACCTGGAACATAGCTCGTTAAGTGTTACCTACCACTTTTGTATCCTCTCAAGTCTTCACTTTTGCCAGAGAATGCATAATAACGACACATGTGGCCTCTGCTCTTTCTCAGAGGTAGAATCAAAAGCCAGGGAAGACACTAATAAGAATTTGCCTCATAGTTATGCCTCCTAGCTGTTTTTGTAAATACATGCTCATTAAACTATTTTAAACAGCATGGCATTTTGTCCTCGGTAATTATGGGAAGAACAGACCAGCAAACACACTTTTGGGGACCAGAATTCTAAATGCCTATTGAAGTCCAGTTTAGTCCAACTTCAAGGTTAAGGCCTTTATTATTTAACACCCTAAAACAGAATTCTTTGTTTTCCAGATCCGAGAGGTAGAGGGCGCAGCTGTTTCAACTATTAACCCTTCTCTGCTCTTTAATGGTTGTTTGCTTGAATGATGTAATATTCCTATAAAATACTAAATAAACGTTTGATATCAAAACAACTATCCATTCCTGTCCTGGAGTTTTACCCCAATGGATAATAAGCAAGAATTTATGATCTAAAGGGTCCTAACAATTTTGAAAGCTTTCCACAATGGTTTCAAGCATTAAAAACTAGGAGGTGGAGACAAAAAAATATATGGACCTACTATGATGGATTACATTTTGCTCTAAATATAATACTTGCTAAATGCAAAATAACCCTTTAATGTGGAAATACACCAACATCCTTTTAAGTTCTTACTTCTAATTTTATACCTGATACAATTCAGAAACAATGTTTAGTAAAGAACAATTATCTCGTGTTCTATATGCATTTCTACAGATACACAAGTTTCTGCTCTCAGAAGGAAATAGAAAGGTTAGTTATTTCCCCATGAAAAGTAATCCAATTATTATCTCCATTTTGTACCTACAGGTTAATCTAAGAAAGAAGTGATAAGGAAAACGGAGAAAACAATGGGCAGGGAGGAGAAGGGCTTAAAGAGAAGGTGAGAGGTGGTAAGAGATAAGGGAATCCACTCGAGAGATAGAGACAAGAAGAAAAAGCACTACCAGCAGGTTGTCAGGCTTTAAAGAGATAACTGCTCACACTTCAATGATACATTGTGGGAACATTTATCTTACCCTCTGGAATTATGATTAGCTGATAGATTATTGCTTGTGGCTTCTGGGCCCTTGTCTCTCTACATAGCCCTACATTCAACTCTGTGAGAGTTTCCACAGGAGGGAGGTCTGTGGGAGGCAGTATCTCAGTGGCCTGGCCTTTGTCATCTCCAGGGTCTACCGAAATCAGTGGCAACGTCTGTTTTCTTGTCCCTGATGGAATTCATCCATTAAAATAGCAATCAGTGACTGATATTTTAAAAATAACATATGGGGACAGTTGCTATACAGTAGAATACGGATACATGCTTAATAAAATGCTAACATTTATAAAAAGAAGCCCGCAGCAGAATTTTCCATAGTTATTAGAGCACTGTTTGACACCTTACACAATCTCTACTGTTTCTCTTACCCCACCACCCAGCATCCATGGAAGCACTTCAGAAAGCAAGGAGCTGGAATTTGGTTGCTGAGGAGAAAGGCAGAGAGAAAAGTATTTTAACAAAGTAAAAATAGAAATGAAAGATGAGGAAGAAAAAAAAGGCAAGTAGAGCTAGAGAAACACATAATTATGGTCTCATAATTAAAATGAATATGACAACATGAAGTGGAATTTTTATTTTGTAAGATAAATTTGTTATTTCAGTAGGCTTCATAGATGGTGTAAAATTCTGAATGTGTAAATTTCTATTAGCAAGCCTACCATTCTACATTTCAAACAACCTTGCCTTTCTGCCACCTCAATTATTCTGCAATCAAAACATGAAAACAAAACAAAAACCAACAGGCAATAGTAATTGCACATCATAAAAAAACTTGGGTGTAGTTTCTTACGTTAGAAGGAAAAACTAGTAGATAAGTATTTTAAAAAATGAAGCATAAACTTCTCTAATAAATATTTTAAAAAGCAAAGCTATATATGGGTAGTTACGATTTGTCAAACTGGAGACTAAATGCCACAAACTTTTCCGGATGTTTGTTTCAAGTCTTGGAGAAAAAAGTTCTTACAGAGGGTGACCACATGATTTAGCACACAAACCTGAGCAGTTTCAAAAATGAAGAGGACGCCATTCATAAATA